TGTGAGCTGCCCCGAGGCTTCGGCAAGGGGCGGCATAGAAATGTTTAAATAAATAAATAAATAAATAAATAAGGAGCCTGCAAGAACATCAAAGGAGCACGAGGCGAAGTGGGATGGGCCAAGCTCGGACCTAGACCGGCTTTTCTGCATCTGGGCAGCGTGTTTGCCACCAGCGACTTCAGCTCGCAAACCCGAACCAGCCTCAGTTCTGCTGGAATCGGCAGTATTATTTATTTATAGACTTATTTTCCGCTAATCTTTCCATTAACAGTGGACTACACGGCAGGGCTGTCATAAGATACGTTCTCCCTGCCACAACCACACGCCAGTCTCTGGCTTGCGATATTGGACATCTAGTGGGGCTTGTTGCATTATTTAAGGCCCGATCCTACAGCAGCTTAGGCAGAGTCGGAGGCTTCCCCCAAAGGGGATTCCTCCGGGTGGGCAGGGCTTTGTGACCCTGCGGTACTTCCTGGAGGTACCTAGAGGGTCCGAGAGGTTCCTCTCCCACGGTGGGGCTGGAAAGGAAAGTGTCTCACTGCTGGTCGGAACCCAAATAAAACCATCCCCAAGAGCAGAAGGGGCCCACTTGCCCCGTCTCAGGCGAGCCGCTTGGCACTTTCTGCAAAGGGGGCGATGCAGCTGTTGGCCTGGCAGGAAGTGGAAGCAAAGCCACAGGAAAAGCTGGCTTCTACGGGGACCCGCTCCAGCTCCCAAACTGTTGGCCAGGAGCAGCAACAAGACATGAATGTAAAGGGCTCCTTGCACAAAACTGCTTTCTGGCTTTCCCTTCTTGCATTTGGCTGCCTTCCTCTGGGGGTGAGTCAGGTCTCCCGTCTCTAAATTGGAGCATGCAGTCAGTCCAAATACGGGGAAACCGCAGGGGGGCCTCCCTGCACAGCCTTCTGCCATAAAAGCCTTCCTACGGAGCAGAACCAGCTGTGATTTCTTGTTGTTTTTATGTGCCATGAAGTCGCCTCTGACTTACGTCAACCTTATAAATGGTTGCCCTGCAAAGTCTCCTGTTCTTCACGGCTCTGCTCAGCGCTTATTAACTCAGGGCTGCAGCTTCTGTTATGGACTTGAGCATTATTATTATTATTATTATTATTATTATTATTATTAAACATTTCTATCTTCCATTACTTTCTTCTGCCTTCAATTTCCCCAGCATGGTGGTCTTCTCCATAGAGCCTTGCTTTCTCAGGATGTGCCCAGAGCCCAGTACAACAGCTCCAGTTTCATCATGGTCATTTCTAGCCTTGATTTGATCTAGGACCCACTTGGTCACATTTTGGTTGGTCCAGGATCTTGGCAAAGCTCTTCTCCAGCACTGTGTTCCATATGCACGCACTTTCTCCCAGCCATCTTTTCTTTCTGTCCAGCTTTCACATTAATCCACAGTGAGTAGGAACACAAGAGCACGAATAATCTTGGCCTCGGCCTTCAGTGAAGCATCCTTGCCCTTGAGGTTTTCTCTAGTTCCTTCACTGCTTCCCTTCCAAGCCTCAGTTTGTCTGCATGTGACAGTCGCTGAAAACTTGGCATTCAGGATTCTGGCCCTATTCTGTCACCTTTTGGTTTTGCTTCTCCCCTGACCTTAGCAATCCTGTTCCTTCTGTAATCCATCCAGACCTTTTCCCCTTTTTACTACAGCAATGGCCTTTTTGAATTCTTCCCTAAGAATGTCTCTGGTTTTACTCCGCAGTTCTTCTGGGTCATTTAATTTGAATCATGCAAATCTATTCTTTATATGGACTTAGAATTCCTCAGGAATGTTATTTAATTGTTATTTTTTTGGCACTGAGCTTCCAATAGTGAACTTTTTCAGCTTTACTCTTATTTCTCACATTAAGAGGTCATGGTTGCTATCAGTTCAGCTCCTGGTGTTAGTTTGGCTGGGAAATAGAGCTTCTCCATCTTTTACTTCCAATGGCATAGTCTATTTGAGTTCTGTATCGGCCATCTGGTGATGCCCATGTGTGCAGTTGTCTGATTGGTTGCTTGAACTATGTATTTAGTTAGTTATTTAATTCAAAGCTTTTATATACCATCCTTCAATAAAAGTCCCAGGACGGTAATACAACGAAGTAAAAGTACAGCATCAGATAACAAATTTCATCAGATCAAACCCATCCTAAAACACATTAACACTTAAAAAATCAGGAAAATAAAAAGTGATAAACAGTGATTGCTGGCTTAGATTCTTACCACAGGCCAAATTTTCCCACAATCCTAATTAGATTCTACTTATGTTTCCTACTATTTTTGCATCCCAGTCAATAGAATTAGCAGCAGCATCAATTTCCTCTTGGACACCTGCATAAAAGTTTTCAATTCCTTCTTGTTGTGGGAGCCTAGACTTGAATGATAGTTACACTGAAAGGTTTTCTGGGAGTTCTGATGGACACGATTTAGAAAGATTCTGTATGACGGTTCCTTCCTTGTGTGCTGTATTTTGCCTCAGTATTAGAACCACTCTTTTTCGGAGTTCATCGTTTCCAGGGTAAAACGCTTTGAGTTTGTCTGACTGCAAATGCCCCATTCCCCTCCGCCTGAGTTTGTGCCACCCAAATGCTGCAATGCCCAGTCGTTCCTTTCCTTGCATTCCAGCTGCCGCTTGCCTTGATTCATGCTTCTCCTCCCACATTCGGGGTCCCAGTCTCACGTACCGCGCACCATCGGCCTGTCCTTTCACTTCTCCGTATGCTGGCCACTCCTGTTCAGCTTGGGTCAAGCTGTGTCCGTGCACTTGCCCTTTGTTCACCCCCACCTTGCGGTTGTTGTTAGTCGCAAAGTCGTGTCCGACCCATCGCGTCCCCATGGACAACACTCCTCCAGGCCTTCCTGTCCTCCACCATCCCTGGAGTCCCCCCAAGCCCACACCCACTGCCCCAGTGACCCCATCCAGCCACCTCATCCTCTGCTACCCCCTTCTCCTTTGCCCTTCCATCGTCCCCAGCATCAGGCTCTTCTCCAGGGAGTCCTTCCTTCTCATTAGGTGGCCAAGTATTTGAGGTTCATCTTCAGGATCTGGCCTTCTAAAGAGCAGTCAGGATTGATCTCCTCTAGGACTGACTGGTTTGACCGCCTTGCGGTCCAAGGGACTCACAGGAGTCTCCTCCAGCACCACAATTCAAAGGCCTCAATCCTTCGGCGCTCAGCCTTCCTTATGGTCCAGCTTTCACAACCATGCATTGCAAGTGGGAAAACCATAGCCTTGACTGTATGCACTTTTGTCGGCAGGGTGATGTCTCTGCTTTTTAGTATGCTGTCTAGATTTGCCATCGCTTTCCTCCCCAGGAGCAAGCGTCTTTTAATTTCTTGACTGCAGTCCCCATCTGCGGTGATCTTGGAGCCCAGGAAAATAAAATCTGTCACTACCTCCATTTCTTCCCCATCTATTTGCTGGGAAGTGAGAGGACTGGATGCCATGATCTTAGTTTTCTGCCGTTTGTGCAGTGCCTTCCAACTTGGGAGTCTAATTTTCTGACACTACCTCTGCTTCATTTGGGATTGTTTCCTCATAGGGTAAAAGAAAGTCCGAAGCGGTTTACCATCGCCTTCTTCTGCAACGTCCTGGCTGCCTTTCGGGAGATCCCTCGTCCCCATCACGTCGAGAGAGATCCGTTTGCTTCGGCTGGAGCGACCTTCCTCCGGAGAGAAACTCGCCCTTCTCTCTGTGCTGCGAGCAGCCTAGCCTTAACGCTGTTTCGCATTTCCTCTCAGCAGCTGGAGAGGCGGCGGGCAAGCCCCTCCGATCAGCAGCGAAAGGAATCGAGGAAAGCCACGCGTTTCTCCAGAGCGATGCTATCGCCGCCTCCCTCCCGCTCCCGCTTGCTCCTCTCCCGGCCGCGCACAATCCCCGAGCAGCGCCGAGCGCGCTTTCGCGATCCCTCCCCGTTTTCCGCTCGCTGCTCTATTAGAAGCTCGTCGGTAGAGCAGGGCCGCGCCGGGAGAGCCGGCGATGGACGCGCGCCCTGCCCAATGGCGCCCCGGCGGCGCGGCGCGCCCAATGAGCGGGCCGGGGGCGGGCCTCCCGCGCGGCCGAGGGGGCGGGCGCCGGCGCGCGTCCGCGCAGCGCCAACCATGCCC